ACAGAGAGAGAAACAGTGACCGAAACCGACCAGTAATTTTTTATATAAGCGTGAAATTGTTCTGACTTGGGATTACAACGTCTCAACTGACAATTGTTGATTGAGGTTTCCTTCTCTACTTCCAGATAAGTTTCATAGACCAAAAATTTGCTAGGTTTTTTATTATTTCAAAAACTGAATATCATGCCCTGCAAAAACGGTTTTTGTCTGGCAGGAGATATTGCATGCCGCTCCAACTTTTAGCATAGTTCAAACCAGGGGCGGATTTAGGGGCGGCGGGTTTGGACGCCCCTCCCCTTCAGAGATTCGACCTCCTGCCGACCCAAAGGGTCCCCCTTCGTACTATTTTGAGATATCCATTTTTGGCGACTTAACATAAAATTTTTGTAAAAGCGCCTTTGGCGCCAGTATGTAATAAATTTGAAGGTAAAGCGCGCGCCAAAAAAAAAACAGATTTTTTGGTCAAAATTTTATAAAAAGTGCCTAAAAACGCCTTTTTTTTGGCTTATTTGAAAAATTCACTCGCGGCGCAGAAAATTTTGTCAACATTTCTTGACCAAATGATCTTTTTTGAAAATCCGCCCCCCCCCCCCCCTTGAGAAAATCCTAGATCGGCCCCTGGTTCAAACTCCAGGCTTTAGGTAAACAGCGGGCATCAAACACTTCTATAATCTCTATATACTTTTGGCTGTTTGTAGTCTCGAAAGTTTAAACTTTCAAGTAGAATTCGCGGAATCGGAGTACGCCTCAGACCGCTGTGATAAATTACGCTTTCATTTGCATTGCCAATGAAGAACGTGATTTCTACATAACTGGATCAGATACCCGTCGGTTATAAAAAGCGGAAACTGTAAGTCAGGGGAGTTAATATATTAGACGGACTTAAAACAAAATTTACGCAGCTTCCTGCTTTTTTGCCGTTTTTGAGTGTATAGTTCAAAACGTTAAGAAGCAAAAAGCAAAATTTTTGGAAATTTCCGCGAATGTTTTTGAGTGGAGTTTGAATATTAAAAAAATGACCTGATATCGGCAAACAAACGAACAAAGTCATCATTTAGATGGGGGGAAAAATTGTTGCTCTCAATGCAATTCTTAGAGGAATTGTTTTACGTCTTTTCATGAGTTATTTTTTGGCGATTTCGGACTCATTTAGGGACGGATTGTTGTTCCGACTTTCGATACGAAAGTAACAGAATATTTGTGCTCGGGGTGGGCTTTTTTTTTTCTTCAGACAAATTTCGACTTTTTAACTAGCCATTTTTGTCGGAATTTTTTTCAATCATTCGAGAGGTATTGTTGACCTGAGCTCAAATTTGAAAAAATATTTCACCTGTGATTGTTTTTTGTAAAGTTACGGGGGTTTAAAAATTGCCATTTTGGCCAATTTGGGACAATTAACGCGCGATATATTTCGCGCTATTAACGCGTAAACGGAGAGTTAATCCATCATAGAAATCGTTTCAAATTGGTCAAAAGAAGCTTACTTACCATAATTGGTTTGTTACAAGGAGCGAAATCTATCCTTTTCTACTTTATATGGCGTGTGGAGAATGATTTTAGAAAAAAAGAGAGTTAATCCATCATAGAAATCGTTTCAAATTGGTCAAAAGAAGCTTACTTACCATAATTGGTTTGTTACAAGGAGCGAAATCTATCCTTTTGTACTTTATGATTTTATATGGCGTGTGGAGAAGTTTTAGAAAAAAAATTTTTTTCGTTTTGTTTTATTTCATTGAATTTTCAAATGTTTTTACTGCTCCATAAACCTTAAAAGGCAGTCGGAACATTTAGGGCTTCACCCTGATACGATCAGTCTTATTTTTAGAATCTCATTCTGGGTAATTATTAACATATCCCTCTAAGAAACCATTCGAATATTGCTGGCCGAATTGTAATTTTTTTTGCCTATCGTTCGAAAGGTTGGTAGCTTGAGGCACACTATGCTTATTGCTTGTTAAATGACGTATACTACACTCTACTTAGAAACATAAACAAAAAAACATAGAGTCTCTAGGCTGAGAAAAATAGCATTTCTCCGTCAGCGAGTTGAAGATGACGTCTAATGATGCTTTTCTTGCGTCCAATTCAATCTAAGGACACTTTTTTGTTCAATAAAACTTATGAATACCGTCAGAGCAGTCTATGGACAATGTTGAGGCGTTTTTCAGTTTTTTAACCCGTGGGCGTGTTGGACTTGCTGTTCTGTAGCAGATTACGAAATATGAAGCAGATTTTCAAATGGTTATAAAGTTTTTTTCTTTTTTTTTCTTGAAGTCGTAACTATTGGAGACTGTGACAGAATATGTGGTTTCAGAGCGTGATTTTTAGCTTTTCTCCGTGAAATTAACCGTCTCTTATTTACAACTAAACAAAAAATGTATTTAAACTTAAACAAAAAATCCACGTCTGATATTTTTCTCTTCCCAATTTCCAATCTGTGCTCAAAAACTTTCAATCCAAAACGAATGGTGCTTGCTAATATTCAGTTTGGGTTGACGTGTAATCTGCGGACAAACTCAAGTCAAATTGAGTTGTGTAAAACGATTAAATTAGCATACCTACAAAAAGTGAGGAATTTTGGCTATTTTTTTAAAAAAATACTTTCAACGAAACTAATTTTGCTAAATATCTTTTTAAGCATGCCGCTTATACCACTCCTAGGAGTAAAATCAATGTTGAATTTTTTGTCTATGGCTGACATGTAGAAAAAAAAAGATAAAAGATTGCAAACTATCGTTGTTCCAAGCTGGCAATTTTTTGCCCTCGTAACTTGACGAAGGCGAGATCACAGGTGCATCTCCGTGTATTTTTGAAAAATCGAAATTTCAGTTCATAGATCTTTTTCAAACAGCCCTTCAAACTTCAGCAACGGTAATGTATTTCTGAGCTTGTTATTGTTCCGACTTTCGATACGAAAGTAACGGAATATTTGTGCTCGGGGTGGGTTTTTTTTTCTTCAGACAAATTTCGACTTTTAACTAGCCATTTTTGACGGATTTTTTTAATATCACTCAAAAGGTATAGTAGTCCTGAGCTTAAATTTGGAAAGATATTTCACCTGTGATCATTTTTCGTGAAGTTATGAGGGTTTAAAGATTGCCATTTTGTCCATTTTGACCAATTTGGGACAATTAACGCGTGATATAATTCGCGCTATTAACGCGTAAGCGGAGATTTAATCCGTCTTATAAATCGTTCCAAATTGGTTGAACGAAGCTTATTTGCCATAATTGATTTGTTACAAGGAACGAAATTTCTCTTTTTGTACTTTATATGGCGTGTGGGGGGATGATTTTCATAAAAAAATTTCAAATTTAAAAAAAAAATTTCATTTTATTTTATTTCATTTAATTTTTTTAATGTTATTACTGCTGCTCCATAAACATTAAAAGGCAGTCGGAACATTTAGGTCTTCGCCCTGATACGAGCAGTCTTGTTAAGTATTATGTAGCAGATAAACAACAACTATAAACTGCATCGAGAACTTTTAAGTCGAAGTGAAGATATACTGTGTCGAGATGTGAACAATTTTTGAGATGCAATTTGAGATATGGCTTATCTGGTAACTTGACTAAAATTTTTTTTACCAGCACTTGATTTTTACATTATAATTTGTTCTGGATTGAGTGTTTTGGTAACATGATAATTTAGAAGAAAGTAACGGACCGAAAGAATTGAATGCAGCAGTTTTTCTCCATCCCGTGTTGAGGGCAGAGCTACTGTCTTTTTTTTGCATTATGGCAATTCAGCCAATGTTTGCACAATGCCACTCAGCCCAATTCGCATCGCAATTTCCAGCGAAAAATGCAGTTCCGGTAATGCTCCAGCCCACGGCCACTTGTAGTCTTGATCTAAGCCCAATCAAGCATGCGTGAGTTGGTGGCCAGTCAATAAGCAGAATGGTCTAAGAGCAGAATGGGTCCAAGTGCAGAAAAACAGAAAATTATCAAATTTTATAAGTTAATCGGTAAATTAATTATCAGAAATGTCAATAATACCAAAGAAACGAACATTTTATGCATAATGTGCTTAATTACATCAAGAATTTTTAAAAAAAATTTAATCTAAAAACTTTGTCAATTCATGCTTAATTTGTTCGTTTTCTTGGTATTTTTGACGATTCTAATAATTGTTTTATCAATTAGCCCGTATAAACCAATATAAGTTTCTGTTTTTCTGCTCTTGGTCCCATTCTGCTTTTGGACCATTCTACTTATTGCTCCGCCTCAGCGTGAGTTGTATTCAAACAAAAATTCGGCGAGTCGTAGTTTAACAAACTTTTAATTTCTCTAGTTGCGTTACATTTTTAGTGCATTGCAATGCTGCGTCAAATTTTGCACAAGTGTTTCAAATTTTGTATGTTTTTATGATCAATTCATCAACAATGAGAAAATCTAAATGTGCACATAATCGAGAAAATGTTTAAAGCATGAAAAACAAAGTTTTTACTCTTCTATTAGGTTTTATAAATTTTTTAAAATGATCAAAAATAAAACAACTAAAACAACCGATGTACATGTTTGGTAAAATGTTTGAAAGTTTTTTGCCTGTTGCTTAAAACCATTCATTTTTTTTCACACTCGCATTGATAATGATGTATAATGAAAATATTTTGATGTAAAATGAAAATACTTATAAATGACGACATCTGGTAATAAAACCAGCTGCTTGATTTTAACCAACCACATTTAAAAAAGTCCGTTTGTTCATTTTAAGTTTATAAATCAATATATTTGGTGTACAATATATGCAGCAAATTTTTTCAATGTGATTGAGATTTAAGACACCTTTTAGAATGTTAAGAAAAAATAAGCTGAATATTTTTATCAAAGTAAAAGCCATATTAAATTAAATTTGTACCTGTACTATCTTTAAGTTTGAAAAAGTTCGTCTTTTGTTATTTGGCATAGTTTTAATCATCCTATCATCCTGTCTTGTTGTTTCTCTTTTATCTAGACACAATTGATATTTGAATCTGCGTAATTTAAAAGTTTTTTCTTTCTGATAATCAGATATTACATCAGTCGTTTCTTAGCAGTTTATAATCAATACAAGATTATTTTTTCTTTTTGAAATTTTATATTAGAAGACGTTAAAATACGTTTTATCATTTAATTATGAACTCAACTAGTCGGCCATATTCTGACGGTGAAAATGATGATTCCGATTCCAATTTTGACCTTATTTGCTTCATATGTCATAAACCTTACCGCAATCCCCGACTATTCCCATGCAACCATTACTACTGCAGCTCTCCTCGAAAGTGTATTGCCCACTTGATCAAGAACAGAGGAAGTTTGCCTGTTGAGTGTCCTAGATGCGGCCAATCCAGTCCTTACACAACAGAAGAAGATTTTATTCTTTATGAAGAAATGGAAATGACCAGGAATTCCCAGTCAAAAGACGGGGAAGAGGCATCCGAGGCATCAAATGACGAAGCCAGCACTTCGCAGTCTCAAGTCTGTTCTTTTATCATTTTGAGAAGAACCTCTTTATATAATTCCAACATACATATCTTCATCTCACGTTGAGTTGAAAAGATTATGTTTTTACCGTATGAGTCGATAGATCTGCTTAACAATCACCCCTATCAAAGAGGAGGTTTTTAAGATTATGCTAAGTAGAATTTTCGACATATCAGAATAAAGCAAAACTAGAATTCGCTGAGGCGGAGTTTAGAGTGCTAATTATTAAGAGCTTAAAATTTATTTGTTTTCTTTAGAAAGGTATAGATTGTTCAGTAAATCATTGGAAGTGGAATTAATAGGTAAATCCGAGTCGTTTAATGACCTTTCTCGACTTTGGTGGGTCAAACAACGTTAGTTTTTGCTTTTTTGACTCGATTAAAGTCCGTTGTCCGCACTGCGGATCCAATAGCTTTCGCATGTCAAGTCGATTTGATTCGACTTCTGCCTATTATTTTGAATCTAACCACATTTGCATCTAAGTAGCATAAAAGTTTTGCAGAGCATAGCATTTAGCTAATGTGAATTGCTTCAAACCTATTTTGCAATTTTGTAATGACTTAAATTTTTGGTTGTTACGAAGTTTCAGCGGCTTGCAGGTATTTTCGGGTATTGTTTTCAGAATTTCATTTGGAGCAAGTTATAATTCTCTACACGATTCAAGATTTGCGAGCGCTTTGCTTTAGTCAACAAACAGATCTGCGAAGCGGCTGAATTAAACTTTCTTTCTAATTACATTTTCTTATGCCGCTTTACACTGATTGATCAACCTTTCATTTTCTAAAACTTATACAGTTGAAAAGTTCTTCTCCGAGGTTAAAATGATGTTGATAAATCGATCCTTATATTTCATAACCCAATGAATGTTTTGAGTGTGCTGATTTGACGTGGCTGTACCTTATTTCAGCAAGAAAATGTATGTGGATAGACTCTCGAAATGAGAAGTTTTGATTCAACTGTAATTTCAATCCCCATACCAATTGTGATATCACTGCTTCAAGTGTGATGCAACTTGGTCTTGTCTTATATACCAGAAATATCTAAAAAAGCGTGTCACTCCGACTACTCACTTGTTGCTCCGACTTTCGTAACGAAAGTAAGGGAATAATTGTGCTCGGGTGGTTTTTTTTTCTTCAGACAAATTTCGACTTTTTAACTAGCCAATTTTGACAAAAAATTTTACATCATTCTTAAGCTATTGTTGTCCTTACAATTCTTTTATCATTCGAAAGCTTAAATTTGAAAAGATATTTCACCTGTGATCAGTTTTACGGGGGTTTGGAGGTTGGCATTTTGGCCAATTTGGGACAATTAACGCGCAATATATTTCGCGCTAATAACGCGTAAGCGAGATTTAATCCTCAGAGAAATCGTTCCAAATTGGTTCAAGGTAGCTTATATGCAAAATTAATAGGAGCAAAATCTATCACTTTGTACATTACATGGCGTGTGGAGGGATGACTTTCACAAAAAAATCTCAAATTTTAGAAGAAAAAAAATTTCATTTTTTTTTTATTACATTTAATTTTTTTATGTTATTACTGCTCCATAGACTTTAAAAGGCAGTCAGAACATTCAGGGCTGCGCCCTGATACGAGCAGTCTTGTTGAGAGTATTTAAATGCAATTTTGTTAAGTTCGTTTTGAAATAGGATACAACATAATTCATTCGGCTATGTTTATTTCTGCGATGTTGGCTGGGAAACTTTAAGAAAGAGTTTGTGCGCGACAGAATTTTTTTTTCAAAGCTAGTTAACTGCGGTATAGTTGAAATGTAAACCGAGAAGCAAGATCAAAGCAATGACTCACAACACGTTTTTGCGAAGTTAAGTGCAAAGTTTTGAGTAGCGATCTAGCGGCTAGCATAAACTTTTAGAGCCTTATTACACGGAAACAATTAAAAAATGTGTGAATCAAGTCGTCCAGATTTTGAGAATTCAACACGTGCACGAACGAAACCTGAGTTTAAAGAAACTCAATGGGACTGATTTGATTTATGGCTTTCGGTCTACGAGGTGCTTAAGTTACGCAACCTTTATGTTCACACGGCAGTTCTTCAAGTTGTTTCAAAAATATTTTAAAAATTTTTCTCATAGTTTTTCGAATTAATCGCCTGTATCAAAACAAAAGATTTTGCAGAGAAATTTAATTTGGCTCTATTAATCGACTATATCAATTCGTAATCAAAATAAACGATTTTGCAGAGAATTTTTTTGGCTCTATATATCCGGTTACAACCACAGCTTAATAGTAGGTCAAAAGTTGTTAGATTTTTTGTTGAATTTTGGGGGATAACGTGTTTTTTTTTCTACGTTAGTTTAAAGACTACTAACTGAATTATTACAAATTCTGGGATAATGAAATAAGTTTGTATACCACAATTTTGAAAGTAAACTCCGAAATTTAGAACTGCTTTTCAAAAAGGGAAACAATTAAGGCCACCATTTTCAACTTCTTGCGGTCTTACAAGTTTTGCAGAAATTGACCTCGCGGTTTGCATCTACTGAACTGCTCCTGTGATTGATGTCGGCTTTTCCAGTTTGATTCCAGGACCGTAACCAACACTATTTTCAGAAGTCCATTTCAAGGTAGTTCTGTAATTATGCGCACCACATCTGAAAAAGTTTCAACTTTTTCTCGATGCCCGTTTAAATAATACTATTTCTTTATTCAAAATATGTGAAAAAGTCAGCATATTGTAGTGGACTCAAAACTTTCTAAAACGCCCCGATAGGCGCGTCAACTCTATCTCTGGGCTACGAAACAATACAGCTGCTTCTTTTGAGTACTGCAGTAAGTTTAGTTGCAGATACGAGCAGCCTTTGTAACTTCAACCACAGTGATACAATACAGTTTACATTTTTTCATTCTTTGCTTTGAATCGAAACTGTCTGTCTAACTGTGCACGAAAAACTAGCAGACGGATTACTTGAATGTTTATTCCTTTTTGATATCTCATCAAATGGGCCGGCGGAACATGTTTCTGCCTCTCCCTTCATGTTATGTACGGTAGAATGGGGTCCTTTGCAGACCACATGTCGATAGACAAAAGCAATTATTCTCTTTTAGTTGACATACTGCCAATTATCGGAAAAAGCGTGTTTTGTATGACTTCCTTATCATTCGTCTTATATTTGAATTGCCTCTCGTAAAAACAGAAAAAAGTTTAAGCTTTGTCGCGATAAAAAAAACTTCTGCATGCTGAACAAATAACATTTTGAACGTGTTTGTTTTCAAATTTAATATCGTTAAACTTAAAGAACAAATTTGCCAACATTTTCAAAAAAAAATGCTACAAAATTTGAAACGCATACTTCAAATCACAAGAAACGAAAAACTTAAAACACACGGAAAACATAAAATTACCAGCCAAAAAACTTGTTTTTTCGAGGTCAGACAAAGACGAGTTCGATAAGTGATACCTTTCATGTGCTTATGATTACGTAGATCTTTGAAAGAAACCAAAAAAAAAAAATAGCAAGAACGAGTGGGATCCGAATTTATGACGAAGGTAAATTATTGCTTAAAAATTGCAATTTTTGTATAACTGAAATATCCGAAGACCAGTCGGACATCTGTTTTGTCTTGCTCCCTATGCATAGTTATCTTTGTTTTGTTGTACAAACTCTATTTGTAACTGTAGGTCAAGTGAGAACATCCACCTCAACCAATCAGAGAGGGTGATATGTTACAATAGGTGGTAGTTTTAAGTATAGTGCATGTGTTAATTTTGAGAACAATAATGTTTAAAATAGCCATTTCCTTTTCAATCACTTATACATGCTACTAAGATAGTTTTTGTAAATACATTACTCTGCCACATAAAATGTTATTCAAAAACTCAAATTTCTTTGCCAAAAACTTAAGCTTTTGAAATTAATTATAAATACTGAGCGAAATATTAACAGAAGCGATCCAGCTTTTTAATTTAAAATTACCACCTATTGTAATATATCACTTCAAAGGGTTACCTGTTCGTTACCGCCCACGCTAGCCAAAATAGTTTAAAATTGACTTTTCTATCAAAATTTTAATCAAAATAGGTCAAATTTAATTCAATTAAAATTGATCTCATTAAAAACCAAAAGAGCTTAATTTGAATCAATCGGAAATCAAAATTTTAATCAAAATAGGTCATAAATTTAATTCAATTAAAATTGATCTCATTAAAAACCAAAAGAGCTTAATTTGAATCAATCGGAGATCAACAAAATGATATAAGTTTGTCTGGATTGAATTTAAATCATATTATTTTGAGTACATTACAAACATGAAATTAATTTAAATTTTTTAAAATTCAATCCAGCCGAACTTATATCATTTTGAGATGAGACCAGTTTGAATTGATTGAAGATTGATTCAGTTTTTTTTTGGTTTTATGTGAGATCAATAATAATTGAATTAAAATTGATCCATTTTTTGTTTATCGAGTTGAAAACTATTTTGACTTCATTTTTTGTCGCTTATCAGCTTATCAGATTTGTTGTCAGAATTTTTAAATTGATTTCAATTACTTTGAGTTGGTTTCAATCAATATGATATAATCCTTTCTCTTTTTATTTTATACAAATTACAAATAAAAAATTTTTAATTTATGCTTCTCAATCAATGTTTTTGCTGATTATTGATCTGGAAGAAGCTTCAAGTTAAACTGTCCTAAGCTGTTATGATTTTAAGAATGACATTTTGGACAATTCAATTGAAATTTTTTGAATCACGGTGGGAGCTTTTAGATTGCAGTGTAATCAAGATGAACAACTCAAGCGAATGTAGTGACTGAAGTAACTCTAGATCACTGTTACCTTGGCGGAGATTTTTGTATAACTTTTCTGTTAAGTTTTGATGCATAAGCAAAATCTGATTAACTTCAAAATTGATATAATTTCTTAAGTGTGCATGCCCGGGATGACCAAAAATACTAGTCATACAATTTCCATATATGGAAAAATGCTAGTCATACACTTTTCATGCAATTCCATACGTACAGAAAATTGCATGAAAGGTCTATGATTAGTATTTTTTTCATATATGGAAATTGTACGACTAGCATTTTTCCATAAACCAAAAATGTTGATTTTTTACATTTTAATTTCTCAAAATTTTGTGGTTGTGTTCGTAAACGAACACAAATGACATAAACCTTGATTACTCAAACATAGTAACCAACGGTTTGGCCTTCTCGCATTGAAAATGCATTGGAAACAGCCTGATATGTGTTACTTCTGTCTCAGACAAACAATATAACGAAAGTAATGAACTTTTAAATTTTGGCAATAATTTTCAAAGATAATAATTTCTAAAATTTGAGTTTTTAAACTACCAAACATTGATCAAGGCATTCAAAAACATGTCATACAAAAGAACGAGGAGTTTTAAGCGTTTTTGAAAAAAGTTATGAAGAGAAAAGGAAAAAAAATCCAATATTAGTATATCCAGGACTACGTTTTAATCAAAATAGGTCATAAATTTAATTCAATTAAAATTGATCTCATTAAAAACCAAAAGAGCTTAATTTGAATCAATCGGAGATCAACAAAATGATATAAGTTTGTCTGGATTGAATTTAAATCATATTATTTTGAGTACATTACAAACATGAAATTAATTTAAATTTTTTAAAATTCAATCCAGCCGAACTTATATCATTTTGAGATGAGACCAGTTTGAATTGATTGAAGATTGATTCAGTTTTTTTTTGGTTTTATGTGAGATCAATAATAATTGAATTAAAATTGATCCATTTTTTGTTTATCGAGTTGAAAACTATTTTGACTTCATTTTTTGTCGCTTATCAGCTTATCAGATTTGTTGTCAGAATTTTTAAATTGATTTCAATTACTTTGAGTTGGTTTCAATCAATATGATATAATCCTTTCTCTTTTTATTTTATACAAATTACAAATAAAAAATTTTTAATTTATGCTTCTCAATCAATGTTTTTGCTGATTATTGATCTGGAAGAAGCTTCAAGTTAAACTGTCCTAAGCTGTTATGATTTTAAGAATGACATTTTGGACAATTCAATTGAAATTTTTTGAATCACGGTGGGAGCTTTTAGATTGCAGTGTAATCAAGATGAACAACTCAAGCGAATGTAGTGACTGAAGTAACTCTAGATCACTGTTACCTTGGCGGAGATTTTTGTATAACTTTTCTGTTAAGTTTTGATGCATAAGCAAAATCTGATTAACTTCAAAATTGATATAATTTCTTAAGTGTGCATGCCCGGGATGACCAAAAATACTAGTCATACAATTTCCATATATGGAAAAATGCTAGTCATACACTTTTCATGCAATTCCATACGTACAGAAAATTGCATGAAAGGTCTATGATTAGTATTTTTTTCATATATGGAAATTGTACGACTAGCATTTTTCCATAAACCAAAAATGTTGATTTTTTACATTTTAATTTCTCAAAATTTTGTGGTTGTGTTCGTAAACGAACACAAATGACATAAACCTTGATTACTCAAACATAGTAACCAACGGTTTGGCCTTCTCGCATTGAAAATGCATTGGAAACAGCCTGATATGTGTTACTTCTGTCTCAGACAAACAATATAACGAAAGTAATGAACTTTTAAATTTTGGCAATAATTTTCAAAGATAATAATTTCTAAAATTTGAGTTTTTAAATTACCAAACATTGATCAAGGCATTCAAAAACATGTCATACAAAAGAACGAGGAGTTTTAAGCGTTTTTGAAAAAAGTTATGAAGAGAAAAGGAAAAAAAATCCAATATTAGTATATCCAGGACTACGTTATACACACAAAAAATTAAATTTTGCATGCAAATTTTTTTTTTTCAAAAAATGTTTGTTTGAATACGAAAATCAATTTGCGGATGAAAAAAAATCATAAAAAATTTTTGAGGGCAATTTCAAAAATACTTAAAAAAATTTTTGTCGTCGCCATCAAAAAAATGCTAGTCATACAATTTCCATATATGGAAATTGTATGACTAGTGTTTTTTTTTTCAGAAAACAAAAATAAAAAAAGTCAAAGTTTTTAGTCGTAGCAGCCCAAAAAACGCTTAAATGCTTTGCCAGCAGTTGAATTGATTGTTCAAAGCTTTTTTTTTATAAAAAAAAAATTTTAAAAAATTCTAATCATACAATTTCCATATATGGAAATTGTATGGTTAGCTCTTTTTTTTCAGACCATTTTTTTCCTTTTTTTTATGAAGAGACACCAATTTCGATAGCAAAACAACTATAAAATACCTTTAAAATTCGATTAAACTCATTTTGCAAAAATGCATGAAAATTGTATGACTAGCATTTTTCCATAGACTAAGTGTATGAAATTGTATGATTAGCATTTTCGGTCTATGGAGGTCAACCCGGGTGGTTAAACGGTTTGGATTGATTTTAAATTGATATGAAACGAAACTAAGCTGATCCAAAACCATTTTTGCCAGTACGAGTGCTGTACAACATCTGCATTAGCTCTACCAACTGTAACTTTTTTCTTAAGCGACTGCAGTGACAAAATACAAAAAGTGTGAGAAAAACACCAACGGCTTTTTGTACAAAACATTTTAAAGTACATTTTAAGTGCCCGAAAACTTCGTTTTTGACGTTTTCGTTTCTCTACTTTCCTGGGACGAGCAATGTTATCTCAAATTTTAATTATTTTGGCTTCATTGGTTTTTATAATAGTTTGGAAGAGCTTGGAAATCAATGAAGCAACTTTTCTCAAAAAAATAACTAAAAAATAGCCCCTTATTTAGACTGAAATCATTCTGAATCGTTAATTGGAACAAAAATAATTTCATGTTGTCAGAAAAAACAAGAGGATATTTTGAACAACCCACAGAGCGCCAGTTTCTCAAGGTCACAATCTGGTTCAAGTAAGATGTGCCAAACTCATAACGCAGTGAAGACGCACTTCTGTGCAAAATGTCGCACTGCAATTTGCTGGAAAGATTGGACAGACGGAGAGACTCACGAAAACCACGGACAGCCGCTGGAAATAGACGACGCTATAAACAGATACAAACAGGCCAGAACCAAGCTGGACGAGACTTCTAATGCTCTGAATGGTTCGTTTCTTCGCCCATAATATATATCTGAAAATGAGAGAAGGAATTGTGTAGTGTATACGAGGAAGGGGTGGGGGTGATTTGTTTAACAAACTAATCATGTCAATTTAAACCATGGTTCTTTGATATCAAATTTTTTGGACACAGTTTTTCGATTTCGTTCAATCCCGCGTTTTTAATGTAACTGAAACCAGGTCAGAAATCTTCAAAAGGACATAGTTCCTCCTTCTGTTATGGACTGATTATGACGATTAGGTATACCTATTCCAGGTACATTTCAAGTTTTTCAGAATTTTTTTCAGTACGAGGCCAAACTGTGCATTCTGTGCATTGTAAGCGGAATCCGCAATTAATGCGATTATTTCTGGCAGTGATCTTCAACATTGAACGGTAAAGCCTCTGCGAATAACAAGGGATATGTGTGCTATGTTTTAGAAATCTTTAGGTGTCTAGGGTTTTCTGAAGGGGAATCTCAAAAACTTTTAAAGTGTTCTAAGATGTTTCCAGCCTTCCAAAATCACAGCCTTAAGATAATTCCAGCTTAGAATAGGTTTGCTTTTGGTGTTTAGCGAGTCAATAAGCATTGAACTCCGACTATTTCGAAAATAACTCAGCCAATCAGGTATTCTTTTTTTAAAAAAAAAAGTCCAAAAAATCCCATTTTTGGGTCGTTTTTGAAAGTTTTCGACAAAAATTGCGTGTTTCCTAGTGCATTCAATACTTGAAAAATTATTTGGTCAAAGTCTTCATTCAGGTTTGGTCGGCCCACAGGAATTTTGTTAAATAATGTCAGCAAATGAGACGAATTGGCGAATGGAAAGAATAGTAGCGATCACAAATATTCAGCCTCGAACCCGCTTCAAACCCCCTTCTTTAAATATGATCAACAGAATGTAAATGATATTTTGAAAACTGTAAATTTTAGCTTCGGTTGAATTTGTGATGGAAACTACCGAGAAAATGGCCGTCATGCATCAGAGGATTAAAAACATGGGCAACAAGCAGGATGACGTGGTGTCGGGACTGTTCCAGAAGGAGCTGCCGCAAACCATCGAATCTTTCGAAGAAGAAGTGAGAGTAACCATGCGAGACTTCGAGATTCTCAAGAGAGATATTCTTCAAAACATTGACCTGAAAATGAACGAAACTCAAGCGAAGTTCAGAAATGCCGACAGAGATGTCCAGAAACTCTAACGTTTGATTCCATCTCAGACGTCATCGGACCACATCAAAACTAATCTCATCTACTTAAATCTGAATCACCGAAAATTAGATGAATGTATAATTTTGCGTCGACAAACTCTATAGAAAAAAAAACCACTGAACTTGGAAGAAAAATTCAGTCTACTAACAGATTCAAATCATTTAAAAACTAAACATTCATTAAACATTAGAATAATTAAAAATATAATTATTATAATATATTATAATGGCTTTAAGCATTATATTAATAATTAATATACAAAGTTAAATATTAGTTTCGTTAAAGAGCCTTGAAAGATGGAACATCTTCCAGATACTTTTAGCGTTTATTAATTAATAATTTTAAAGCGCAGAGCATCTCGATTTGATTATGGTAGCCTCATTTAAATTACAAGTTTAATAATCTATTCTTTTGAATTACATTGAACCTATCCAAGGCCTGAGCAAGTCTAGAACCGGTAACGTTTTATCGAATCAAGTAGTTTTTTTTACTCCATGACGAGGCCAAACTGTGCTTTCTGTGCAATGTAAGCGGATTCGCAACAGGCCCAAATCAGATTTCGCGCGCAATCCGCAACGTTGCTAATTTTCTTTGATCTTCTTTGCTGTTTTGGACTCCATAAACAAATACTTAAAATACTGTACCGTTCAAAATCGCTCGAAAAACAGGCGAATTTGCGGAATCCGCAACCGCATTTGCGGAATCCAGAACAGTTTGTGGAATCCACACACAAATAACCAGACATTTTTACAATTGAATTGAGTTGTTGCGGAATCCGCAACTGTTAGCGGAATCCGCAAACTGTAAGTGGAATCCGCATTTTGTTTACATTTAAGTATGTGTAGTAGCTTTCAAAACTATATCCTTAAATTACCGACAAAGTTTGATTTTTTGAGTACACAGCAATAACGGAACAGCTAAAAAAAAATTTCCTGATGATTTTGTCCACTGTCAAATTATGCAAAGCTCTTAAACAGTTTTTGTGTATTTCGAAAATTTTGGTTGCTGTTGTATGTGATAAAACCTGTTCTCGTTGGTTGCGCATGCGTTGTGCTCATCTGAAATAAAATTATTTAGTTGAGAGCGCTAATTGAAAGGAAAAAATGTCCGTTATGGGCTAAATTGCTGTTGCGACGGCGACGATTGAGGCATTACTCTCGCTCGGAACCCTGATTTTTCAATACCAGTCGAGCATCTGGTTTTCCGTAGGAATGTCTTGACTATGCTCACCCCTCGTTTCAATCAAATTTTCGCCATCCGTAATTGCTGTTGCTCAGCATTCATAAAAATGCTTTCATAAGTATTTTAAGCAGCTCCAATTGTGGTTGTTCTCTTTTTACATTTGAGACAAAACTCGTGGCCTGTTACCACTAAAATTTGTTTGTCTTTAGAATATTAAATGAAATGTAAGGACGCTTAAAACATGATAGCTCAAGAAATGGCAAAGGATTTGCTCAAATATAATAGCAGTAAAACTTAATGTAAAATTTTGAAAAACTGTTCGTTGCCTTCAATAATCATTATGTAGGTTATCTTTGTGTTAAACGCATGAATGAGGGGTTTTTCTTTTAGAAAAGTAAATACAAATATTTTGAGATGCTAGAGGCATCAAGTGAATCGTGTAGGGCTCCTCATTCCTCAATTAGTGCAATTCAATGGAATACTACTGTAGTTGTAAAAGCACTAACTTTCAAACAAATCGTCGGTGTAAACACGAGGGTTAAAAACCTGGGGTTAAAGAACGGAACACTAGATTTTACAATTGTCCATCGTTTATATCAGCGAACTCAGAAAGCGCAGAAAAACACCAAAGAAAGGGAAAACAGAGAAGCTAAAAATTTTTTTGCTGTTAGGTTAGAGCTTTGATGAGAAAAATCTTTATGATCATGATCGAGTACTGGAATAAGAAACCTCTTTTGAATCTATGAATACACCTGGGTTAACCAAAATTCTACTCATACAATTTTCGTATAATGAAAAACGCTAGGCATTTACTTTTAATGCAATTCCATAAGTACAGAAAATTTAATGAGAAAGGTTTGATTGGTAATTTTTCATTGGTAAAAGTTACTACGGACCAAAAAAATTAATCAAAACTTTTTCTGTTGCTTTTTTGCGTCTCAACAAGTAATTAAAACTCACCAGACTCGCAAAGAACCAGTGTAAGCCCGTAAATTCAATTTCTTTGTGTTAATCGCTAGGATTTTTGCACATTAAGCATAGCTTTGAAACTAGTTATAGCGAATCTAGTTATACTAGTTATAGAAACTAGTTATACTGACGAAATCACGCATACGAAACAAAATTTCGCAATTTTTGATACGAGATCCTTCTTCCAAATAATAATTCAAATGTGTCAAAATTTCAATCTTGTATCTGAAATTTTTGCAGAGAAAACGTAACAAAAGAATTTATCGTAGCAGGGCAAAACCCTGAATATTCCAACTGCGTTATAACTTTTAAGGAAAATTTTAAATTAAAATGGTTGTTGAAATTAAAACAAAATCAAAAATTCAAAAAAATAGTGGAAGCAAAGTATAGAATAGACCAAAGAGCATGCCGCAATCCAGGTGAGAACAATTTCTAATATCGATTAAATCTCCGCTTACGTGTTATTAGAACGAAATATATCACGCGTTAATTGTCACAAATTTGCCAAATTGGCAAGTTTTAAACATCCATAATTTAACCAAAAAAGATCAAAAAAATGATCACACATTTTTCTAGGTTTGAGCTCAGGACAAGAGTACCATCCGTTATTTTATTCGAAAGTCAGAACTAAAACGTGAAGGGAAAAATTTTTCATTTGCTCGTTGAAATCAAAAACTTCCTTTGCTCGTTAAAATCAAAAAATTATTTGCTTGTTGAAATCTATGTCGAAGATTTTGCGTGCTTAGTTGGCATAAACATAGTCAAAAAGGTATGACCAGACGAAATAAAAGAAAAAAAATATGTATACTTGACTGACTTTTTCTTTTCTTTTGTCTGGTCATACTTCTTTCACGAACTTTTTAAAATTGTTTTCACTGCACATGTAAGGACTTTTTCTGCATAAGAACGACATTCTCTATTCAATTTGCAAGTTTGCCTCTTTTTGCTCACTAACATTTTCACACCAAAAAACCTTGAAAGCAATTCTTTGATAATAATTGACTCTGTAATAAATAAACCCGCTTCAACGGAAATTTTTTTAGGGCTCGTGTTAAAACAAACAGATTAAAGGACTTAGACGTCTTTACACTCAAAAATTCTCAAATAACAAGAGTTCTCAGTTTATGTACAAGAATCACAAACTCATTCAATTGAGGGTAAAATCGTAGAGCAAACATGAAGTACAATTTTTTAAAGAAAAAACCAAAAAACTAGCTTTTTCAAACAACTTTCATTGGTTTAAACTTTCTGTTAATTTTTCTAAATGTGAAAATTTTGGTAATCTACAGGAGACAAATGTCTTGTATTGCCATTTTACACATAGATTTTTACCCGCATTGATGAACTTGAATTTGAGTTCGAATTGATTAATTTTTGAAAATTCAGATGATAATATAGTTTATCATCTGAATTTTCAAAAATGAATCAATTCGAACTCAAATTCAAGTTCATAACTCAATATCTCAAGTCAATAACTCTGGCCCATTCAGATATTTAAACTGATTTAAAATCGGAACAAGACTGCTCGTATCAGGGCGAAACCCTGAATTTTCCGACTGTTTTTTAAGGTTTATGGAGTAGTTATAACATAAACAACATAAAAGAAATAAATGAAAAAATTTTTTCTAAAAATTGAATTTTTTTATGAAATCATCACCCCACACGCCACATAAAGAACAAAAGAATAGATTTAGCTCTTTGTAACAAATCAATTTTGGCAAACAAGCTCATTCAAACAATTTAGAATGATTTCTAAGACGGATTAAATCTCCGCTTACGCGTTAATAGCGCGAAATCTATTGCGCGTTAATTGTCCCAAATTGGTCAAAATGGCCAAAATGGCAATCTTTAAACCCTCATAAATCTACGAAAAATGATCACAGGTGAACTTTATTTTCAAATTTAAGCTCAGGACAACAATATCTTTTCAATGATACAAAAAAAAATTCCGTCAAAAATGGCTAGTTAAAAAGTGGAAACTTGTCTGAAGAAAAAAAAACCCACCCGAGCACAAATATTCCGTTACTTTCGTATCGAAAGTCGGAACAATCAATTAACTTTTTTATGTTGAAAAAAATTGTTATTACCTATTAAACGCTCGATTCAAATGGATTTTTGCAGGCATTTAATTCAATCAAAATCTCATAAGACATTGAATTAGCTTCGCTACAGATTTCTAATTGCTGTTCGAAATACAGCTGAAAAGGCTTGAAATTCGAACTTTGATTTTTTGTGCTGAAAAACAAAAAAAAACAGAAAAAGAAAATAATTACCACACATACATAGACGCAGTTTCTTCCCATTTTCAGTGTTCGAAAAAAGCAATAAAGTTTTTCGACGGATTTTTAATAGCCTGCAAAAATATCGACACTTTTGGGAAAACTTGAAATGCATTAGCGTTTTCCCTACTTTTGTTTTTTTTCACGTTTTTTTTATCATTGGCAACTTGGCTTGGTTGATTTGCACTAAATGTTCGCTTTTCTAATTATGCTGAACTGGCTTATTGTTTCGATTTTCGATACGAAAGTAACGGAATGTTTGTGCTCGGGGTGGGCGTGAGCGGAGATTTAATCCATCTTAGAAATCGTTCCAAATTGGTTGAAAGAAGCTTATTTGCCATAATTGATTTGTTACAAGTAGCGAAATAGATCCTTTTGTTATCTATATGGCGTGTAGGCGGATGACTTTCCTAAAAAATTTCAAATTTTAGAAAAAAAAATGCTCATTTTGTTTTAATACATTTAGTTTTTAAATGTTATTTTTGCTCAATAAACCTCAAAAGGCAGTCGGAACATTAAGGGCTTCGCCCTGATACGAGCAGTCTTGTTCTAATTTGGGGTATCTTTATTTTGCTTCAAATGAAATGTATTAACCGGCGCGTCATATAGCTCTTTGCTTTTTACAGAGAAATTTCTCAAGAAAAAACATTGTGGGGAGAGCATTCATAAGAATGTTAAATAAAACCAATTTTTTCTTTCCGTCTTGAACAAATCTGGGATTTTTGCCATCTTATTTCTAATCAGAAATTAGCTAAATCTAGGCTATTTATAGCTAGAAAAAACTCTCATTGTGGGGCTCGAACCCATGCTGTCTCGTTAACTAGAAGTTTGCGTTTACTCTTCAATCACATGTACTGATATCGTCTACTAGATATGACAATTTATGATTGCAAAGTAACACTTGTTATAACAGTTATTAGTTGAAATTTTCTTACAACGACT